TGTAGGGAATGACCCAGGTCACACAGATAAGATGGGGGGCTGGATCTTCCTCCTTCAAGTCCAGAACTTCCCCATCACTGACAGAGGCAGCTTCCTTCTCCAAATGCTCCTAAGGGCTTACCCACTCTGCTCTCAGCCTCGAAAACCCCATCCCAGGGTAGGCAGGCTGGTGAGTGAATATCGCCTTCTCTCTCCTACCAGTGCCCCCTCTATATATATCATGGTCATTCCGTGTCACGGGCACAGTTGTCTGACTGTCGGAGCTGTCAGGGAGGTGCTGGCACTGGTGGGGGACTGGCCTTAGAGCAGAGTTTCTCAACCTTGACCCACTGACACTAGGCCCGATCATTCTTTGCTGGGGTGGGGGCCTGGAGCGGCAGGGGGCTGTCCTGTACATTTCAGGATATTGAGCAACATCCCCGGCCTCTACCCACTAGATGCTAGAAGCATCCTTCCTAATCATGACAACCGAAAATGTCTCCAAACGTTGCCAAACGGCCCTTGGGGATCAAAATCCCCCCCAGGTGAGAACCACTGCTCTAAAGGCTCCTCTAATGTCTCAGAGAAAAAAAGGGGGCTTCCCTGGTGGCGCAGTGGTTGAGAGTCCGCCTGCCGATGCGGGGGACACGGGTTCGTGCCCCGGTCCGGGAAGATCCCACATGCCGCGGAGCGGCTGGGCCTGTGAGCCATGGCCGCTGAGCCTGCGCGTCCGGAGCCTGTGCTCCGCAACGGGAAAGGCCACAACAGTGAGAGGCCCGCGTACCGCAAAAAAAAAAAGAAAAGAAAAGAAAAAAGGGATTTCTCTGGCAAGTCCAGGGTTCAGATCCCAGTTCTGCCACTTAATAGCAAGTATGTGTCATTTACTGCCACTACATGTCACTAAATCTCTCTGATCCTTAAATGTATTCACCCACTAAATGTGGATAAACGTTTCTTTTGGGGTTGCAGGGAAGATTGAATGAGATGTCTGTGAGGGGCCTGGTGTTTGCAGGTACCAAGAGCCATAGTTATTGTTATTTTGTGTTTATTATGGCTTGAGGCTGAGAGGGGAGATGTGGAAACTTCTGCGGCCTATGCTCCCTCTGCCTCAGGGTGAGTAGAGGACACGGCGGTGTGACCCACATCCCTCCCCTGCTCAGGCCTTGGTCTCTTGGAAAGTTTGGTGGAAGCAGATGTCTGCAGGCCTTTCCACCTCCATCAATGCTGGATTCTATTGACCAGAGCAAGAGCAGGGGAGAAGGCCCTGGGAGCCTGCCTCCCCCATGGGGAGGACAGTGAGGTCCCTGCCAAACTGAGCCATTAATAGGAACTTCACGCCTCACGCACAGCAAGGTTCTGGCCAGAGCAATCTGTTCCTGCCCAGGGTGACTCGGTTCTGCCCCAAGAGGAAGGGATGCCAGGCAGAGCAGGCGCAACCCCTGCCCCCACACCCAGGGCCCGCCAGACCCAGGCAGGCTCTGCAGGGAGGCCCCTGCCCCCTGGCATGGCACCCTCTTCTTGTAGCTTGCTGGCAGTGCCCGGCCCCATTCTGGCAGAGGATGCACTCCAGGCAGGGCAGGGATCTCACCTCTTCTATCCCAGATGGGAGAAGGGATGAGAGTATATAGGGATAAAGGAGAGTCCTTGATAAATGAGCCTCCTATACTTGCCACCATCTCCCACACCCACAAATATCTGAGACGGGAGGAAGAAAGGTCCTGAATCTGGATTTGAATCCTGCTGGGTTAAGTGTGGCCAGAAAGGCTTCCTATCCCAGAACCCGAGCACAAAGAAGCTGTGAGCCAAGGAAGAGGAAAGACAGGATGGAGGGAGACGAGGAGCGGGAGAGGAAGGGCATGGGGCGCCGATAAGAAGGAGCCATCGGGGTGACACTGACAGCGGTGGTGGATGGTGCCGGGTGAGAGCGGCGGGCGTGCCGTCCGGGCTGCCGGGCCTACCTCGCACGGACATCCTCTTGGGGAGGATAGTGACGGCACCCTCGGCCACCTCCTCCAGGTGCAGCACAGGGGCGATCTTGGAGCCCCAGCTGTCCGAGCCCATCCAGAAGAAGTGGCCGGTCTGGTTGGCCTTCCGGGCCGCCTCCAGCACACGCCTGTGGGAACACGCACCAGCCCAGCCCAACCCAGCCGTGTCTGCCCGCGCGGCTGCCGCCACCCTAGCCACACCTGCCCTTGGCTGACCCCCTTCCCCGAGGCCCACACCTGTCCACCTCCCAGCCTGTGCCTGGATCCCCCATCCTGACCCACATGAGCCCAGGGCCCATAGCCGCCCCAGCACCCGTGTCATACCCGCAGGCCCACAGTTCCCTGCTGCCCTGGCCCACGCCTGCCCGTAGGCCCACGGCTTCCCCTTTCACCCATACGGCACCCCTAGCCCCTGTCGGTCTCCCAGACCCACTCCTGTCCCCTGGGGCTACCTCAGTCCCTGCAAAGACCACAGCTGTTTCCCTCAGTTTGGACCTGTCTGACTCAGGCCCCCAGGACCACATCTGCCCAGGCTCTGTCCTCTCAGGTACATGCCACCCTGGTCCTAAGCCCAGACCCACATCCCTTGGCCCTTTCTCACGTTTATATCCACTGTCTCTCTCACACACACACCCCACTACACCCTTCCCCCTCTGCATGCCACCTCCCTCTGTGCCAAAAGTCCAGGTGCTTCAAAGAGCTGCTCCCCACACCCTCCTGGATAGATGAAAGGGTGCGGGCAGCCAGGGCCTCACCCCTCCGCAGGCCCACAGTGACAGTGGTCCTAGTCAAGTCAGGGGCCCTGGAGCCCAGCACAGGGCCCAGCCCACAGGAGGCTTTCAGTCAGTGCTTAACGGATGCTTGAACTAAGTGGCCCCTCAGAGACATCTAGGAGGAGAAAAATAGGAGGGACTGGGCAGAATTCTCTCAACGCACCTCCTTCCACGGGGAGAGACTGGAGCAAGCAACTTGCTCAAGCTCACACAGCGAGAGGCCAGGATACTAGAAACTGTCCAGGCCCTTCCCACGGACAAGGCCAGGACAGACTCCGGGGCTTGGGGTGGCTGCTGCGCCTGTGCAGGAGGTGGCCAGCTGGGGCAGGACCGCCTGGGGCTGCCAGGGAGAGACATGTTTCCCAGCCCCGGGGCCCACACCTGCCCTCCTCCATCGTCTCCTGATGGACATTCTCAGACCCCCAAAGCTACTGCAGCCCAGGCAGGGCCCAGTAATTGTAGGTGAGCCTGCTTTCAGAACCCACACCACAGCCTATTAATACCCGCCTGCATCCGGCCAGCCAGAGATGACCAGAGCTGCCAAGACTCCATCTCTGTAAAGTCACCTGGGTTTATTTTTACTTCTGTTTGCTTCTGAAATGCCTGTGGATTTCCAGAAATGCGCCCCCCTCCATCACACACCCCCACGCCCCTCAGCTGCTCAGGGAGTCAGTCTCAGGCCCTTCCCCCTCTCTCCCAGGGGCCTCTTCTCTGGGATACGTGGCACCTTCATCCTCCCCTCCCCGCGTGTGGGTCCATCAGAGCCGCACGGGAGGCCTGGAGTGGGGTGCGTCCCGGGGCGCAGTGGGACCCAAGCAGGGCTGGGCTCTGGGGTGGGAGTGGGGTCAGGGGGGCAGCGACTGGTGA